AGCAAGTTCAAGACCCTGAGTTCAAATCCTAGTACCACAAAAAAATCTTTTAGCTTATAAAATGTCTTAATTATAGGTGACCTACAACTATCAGTTGTTTCATTACTTGTCTTTCTCAGTTACTGAGTATTTTTCTAAAGGCAGGAAATGCCTGCTTCATGTTTTTCTCCCCAGTGATAGCAAGGTAGTTTACACAAGTGCCACGGAAACTGCAGTTCTTGCTGAGGGACACATTTAGGCCCAGGCTGGTCACAGGATCACCTTCAAGACAGGAGTCACCTTAGAAGGGTGCCTTTCTGACATTTCAGTAACTAAATTCCAAAGACTGAAATTCACAGTGGATGTGCTACGGATTTAATTTCTCTCTACAATGAAATTGTGTAATACTGTAGTGTCAGTGTAATGTCATGAAACAGTGCATTTTAAAGCAGGTAATATGTACATATGGTACAGAATTTCTACTGTGCGAAGGAAGACTCCTACCTCATCCTGCAGCCATCAGCTCTTCTCCACAGAGGCAGTCATTTTAGCCCCAGACTCTTGAGTAGCCTCCCAGAGGTCATCTGTGTTGTATGGGCATAGGACTTCTTGGGATTTGTAAGGCTAGCATCTGCCAACACAAAGTTAGCTGTGACTTTTTTTTTTTCCTTCCTTCCTTTCCTTACTGTCCTGAGTAGTCAGTACTTACAGAGCTGCTATTTTAACCTGGGCACACATACTGTAATTTATATAGTAGTTTACATTTTGATGGACATTTTTGGGTTTTTGGCAGGGCCTTGCTCTTGCTAGGCATGTGCTCTACCACTTGAGCCATACCTCTAGCCTGTTTTGCCTTGGTTATTTTATTATTTTTTATTTTATTTTATTTTTTTTTTTTCATTTTTCTTTTATTATTCATATGTGCATACAAGGCTTGGTTTATTTCTCCCCCCTGCCCCCATGCCTTGGTTATTTTAGAGATAGGGTCTTGCATTTATGTTTGCATTTATGGTATGGACTGCAGTCCTCCTATTTGTACTTTCCGTGTAGCTGAGATAACAGGCTCAGGCCACCGTGCCCAGCCATTGGTTGAGATGAGGTCTCATGAACTTTTTGCTTGGACTGGCCTCAAACTGTGGTTCTACCAGTGTCCACCTCCCAAGTTGGCAGGTTTACAGGCTTGAGCTATCATGCCCAGCCTTGATGGACATTTAGATTGTGATAGCAAAAACTTAGAAAAGAACATTAGCAGGTGAAGGAGAGGCATGGAGGACAAACCTCTGGATAGACTCTTCCTGGGCAGATTTGTTAATTTGCAGCAGCTGGATTGTGTTCCTCAGTAACAGCTGTCTCAGCATAGTCCTCACATCATTTCACTGTGATAGCAGGGACTCAGCTCTGAAATCTGTGTAGAAAAAACACCTGGCTCCCAGTCTTTCAATGGCTAAAAGACAGCCAGCTGTTGGGCCTTGGGATGTATTACCAAGCATTCAGCTATAACATTGTCCTTGAGGACCTTCTGTTGGACATGGGAAGTTTTTCCTGGAAGCCAGTGATCAGCACCTCATAATGGTGAAGGAAGGAGAGGCCAGTATCCTCTGCTGCCATGACCCTGTCATCTGTCATTGACTCTGTGGAGAAGGTTTTGGTGATGAAGGCTTAGAACTACCCATATGATCAGGAATTATCTGATCACAAAACAGATCTGGGAGAGCAACAGGCAGAACTGAGAGAATCTGGCTACATGCTCCACGAAGGCCTTAAAACCAAGAACACCAAGTACCTTTAAGAAATACTCCACAAACTAAAGCTGCAGATTTGAAAGATAACAAAACAGAAGCAGGCCACATCCACTCAATCCACCCCAAGCAGTAGCATCCACATTATTCCCTACATAGAGGCCCAGAGGCTGGTTTACTTCTGGTTCCTGCACATCCTTTCCTGGCCCAAATCCTAGCACCATGGATCCTGGAAGTAGGGATAATGACAGAAACTCATGAGATCAGTGGAACCTCTTTGGACCAAGACACCCTCCCCCCCCAATCTCCCACCCCTGACCTCAGAAGTCTGATTCTGGAGGTTTTGCCATCCAGACATGGGGGGAACCCAGAAACCTCCCAAAGGAGCTGATCTATCCCCAGATCACCCACATGGCTGAAGATGCAGACCCATAACCTCAAAACTCCTCACTTTCCTGTGTTCATGCCCATTGGCTTCTAGAGCTCTTTCTATTCTAGGGACTCTGGATGGAGAGTTTCTTGTACCCACTCTCCTTTTACTTTGGCTGACATAGGAAAGGTATATTTTTAGAAACCTCTTAACACTGAAGCTAGAGCTGGAGAAATAATTGATTTTGAGAAACATTAGTGCAAAGCTAATAATTTTGTGGAAGAAACCATTTTGTATTACTTCAGAGTTATACTGAATAACCTCAGCAGTGATGTTTGGGGGATCTCATTGTCTCTTTTTTTATCATTTACCCCAAGCAAGAACTTTGATCATTGCTTACGAGGTAAATGTGCTAGTCCAACCCCTAGGCTACTTGATTGTTTTACTATTATCAGTGTGAGCATGGATTAATCATAACCTAGAGATGCTCAGTGACTAGTGTAGATACCTTTGGTCTTGAGTGCTGGTGCTGTCCTGTAGCCTTGTCAGTTAGGGGGACTAAGATCTGTTTGAGATCTGAGTACAGTTAACAGCCAGACTTGGCAGGGAGTCCTCTTTCTAGAAACTGGAGTCTCCTGGGTTCTTTGTAGACTTAATGGCTCCCTTTGTCTTATAGCCAGTTCTTCATACCTGTTGGTATCTCTTGGGCCACTGCTGTTGGGGAATGCTTCTTTTTATATCGCATAGAACAAATACTTTTTTTGTGGTGGGGGAGGGCTGCTGGGTATTGAACTGAGGGCCTCTTGCATGCTGAGCACACATTCTACCACTTAGCTATGCCCCCATCCCCTGAAACACAAGCCTTGCCTGTTTTTTATTGCACTTAGATTATGTAACCCCAGTTTGGTTTAAAACTTCCAAAAAAGAGAAAATTCATCCTACTGACTTAGTATTGCTAAATGGATGTTAAATTTGGGGGTGGGGTGGGGGATGTTTGGTAATGGGATGGAACCTAGGGCCTCACGGGCACTAGGCATGTACCCTAACAGTAAGTACACTGCCAGCTCTAAACTGTTTTAAAGTAAAGAAAATGGTAAGTAAAGTTATAGTCTTGAGCTATGTGAAGTTATTGTCATCTTAATTTGATTTTCTTGTCCAGGTCAGTGCCTGAAACTTTGAGGGACGAGGAAGAGTGAAAAACTTCAAAATTTTTCCATATGGAAGCATTTTCACCAAAAGGACCCCTTTGCTTTATGCCACACATTCCTTACTGAGGAAAGAGAGAAACTGCCTTTGTATTTCTCTCATAGTGTTCCTGTTCTGTCACTGTCTTGAACACTGTCTCAAATACCTCCTGTTACTTGTTTTGGATACCATCTTGTTTACAGAAGGAGCTGACCTCATTGTCAGGTCCTGGAGTCTAAAATTATCCAGACAATTTGTGTCTTCTGATAGGATGTCCTGTTTTGACAGTAAGAATCCTTACAACTTTCTCCAAAAATAAGATTAAAAAAAAATTGAGACTAATAATAAGAATCCTTACTACTTTCTCCAAAAAAAAATAGGTAAAAAAAATTGAGAATAAAGTATCTTTAGAGATATCTCATCATATTCATGAGTAAGTACCTCTGTGCAATTAAGTTCCTGGAGGCAGAATTGCTGGTTCAAAGAGATATGCATTTACATTTTTGATAGCCATTGTCCCACTATACAAGAGTGATAATTAATTCCCCCAGCAGTATTTAAGAACTCCGACTTGTAGGTATTATTGCTCATATAGTGTATCAAACTATTAAGTTTTTGCCAGTCTTACAGATATTTTCATTTGTACCACAAATTTTCACATATTTAAAACCCATTTGTTAGAGGATGACTGATAATGGGCACAGAGTTTCTTTTTGAGGTGATGGAAATGTTACCGAGTTAGATGCTGATAATGCTTGCATAGTGTTGTCAGTCTATTTAAAACCACTGAATTATATGCTTTAAAGGGGGCGATTTTTATAGTATATGAATTATATCTTAAGCTGCTGTTTAAAAAATCATTTGTAGCCTGGGCACAGTGGCTCACTGCTGTAATCCCAGTTACTTGGGAGGCTAAAATCAGGAGAATCTCAGTTCAACACTAGCCTGGGCAAAGAGTGAGGCCCCATCTCAACCAATAGCTGGAAGTGGTGGTGCATGTTTATCATCCCATCTGCACGGGACGCATAGATAGGATCTCAGTACAGGCTGACCCAGCCAAATCACTAAAGGAAAAAGGACCAGGACTCAAGGCACTGTTTAAACCCCAGTACCACCCCCGAAAAAACCAACCAATCAAACAAACAAACAAAAAACTTTTGTATTTTCTTTTCTGCAAACTAACTTCCTTGTTTTTAATGTTCTTTTTCTTATAGGAAACTAAGTTTTCATCTTGTTACAGTTTTTTTTTTCCCAAGTTGGTCATTTCTTATTTTGACCTTGATTTTTCTCTCTTAGTCACGGGGAAAAATTTTCATTTTTCTATGGTCGTATCTTTTTTGTCTTTCTTTTTAAAGAATCTTTGAGGTGGTTTTTCATACTTGAAAAAAGTTTTCGGTAATATTACATATTGTTTAATTCCCCTGCTTCTTCTGGACATAATATATTTATTTTGTTCACCTAAATCCTTGATTTAGCTGGAATTTATTTTGGCATAGATTTCACCTATGAAACTGAGTCATATTCTGGCTTTTTGGAGGGCAGTTCTTAGTGACTTGTTCTAATGTTTTCTCTTTTGGAACCACATTTGGTAATTTTTCCTTGAAAATCACCCATTTTATTGAAGTTTTCAAATGTATGTGTTGAAGAACTTAGTACTCTTAGCTTTCTCTTAACTTTATCTTACTCTGTGTTCTTGATTATATTGATTTCTTTTTTCTTTCCTTCAGGAACAGGAAACATAGTGGTCATCATGATTAGCTATCCAAAAGGACGAGAAATTTTCAATCTGGTGCAAAGAGGAATTCCAGTAAAAATGACCATAGGGATTGGCACGCGTCACATGCAGGAGTTCATCAGTGGCCAGTCTGTGGTGTTTGTGGCCATTGCCTTCATCACCATGATGGTCATCTCATTAGCCTGGCTAATATTTTACTATATTCAGCGTTTCCTATACACTGGCTCACAGTTTGGAAGTCAGGTAATTATAGATAGCCATTAATTTTGTTTTTAAAATGCTAATTCATAAATATATCACATATATATTACTTGAAGTTATATTTGACCATATTTCATTTTCACTTATTTAAGTATTCATAGAACTTTTCAAAAGTAACTTTGTTTTGTTTGTTTTTTGTTTCTTTGAGACAGGGTCTCACTATCTATCCCAGGCATCTTGAACTATTGATCCTCTTGCCGCAACCTCCTCAAGTGCTGGGATTACAGGAGTGCCCACCATGTCCAGATCTGAAAATAACTATTTTATTAGAATGTATTAAATTTTGTTTTGTGGGAAATTGAATACTTTTAAGGCTGGGTTACTTTTTGCATATTTAGTTCCTACAGGCACTCTCTTTTCTAAACAGGAATGATGAGAAGGCATGAGACAGAGTAAACCTGCCCTCATGAAACCCTCTTTCTCTCACCTGGCCTAAAGTTGAAGAGCAGAGACGAAGGAGCTTCCTTGTTTCCACTGTGGAGCAGTGATCAAGCTCCTTATGTGCAGAGAGGCTCTTTCTTGGTAATAGCAGATGAGGGTACTAGAAGTGCCAGAGGCTTCCTGTAGCGTCCTCTGTCCTCCTGCAAAGGTCTCCTTCCTGATGACTAGGAAGGACTCTTTCCTTTTTGGGACCTTAGTAGACTAAGTATATGGTGCCCTTTTCCTCACCTCATTACTTTCTCACCAACACGTAAACATAGGAATTGGTTTCTTGGAACTAGAGGTGGGCAGAGCACATATTTAGAATGTATGAGTTCTTGGGTTCCATCTCAGCACCACTGAAAGGTGGGAGGGAGGTGTTCTTTCTCAGATACAGAATTGAAAATAAATATTCCTGATCAAATAGCTCTTAAGCTATGTGGCTGTTCTATATATTAAGACTAAAATGAGCTGACTGTGGTGGTACACACCTGTAATCCAAGCTCTTGGGAGGCTGAGGCAGGAAGGAGGATGGAGAGTTTGAGGCCAGCTTGGACTACATAGTGAGACCCTGCCTCAAAAAGAAAGATTAAAATGTTCTTTAATTTGTTTTGGGGGGTATTTTTATTTGTTTTTTTAGTTATTGTATATGTAGTTACTTGTTTTGCTAAAGAATTTTTTCTGTGTGCTTTCCCTTGTTATGTGTGACTTTTAAAAAACAGTGATGATTTAAAGTGTTTTAATAATAACATTTTCCTCTCTAAGAGCCATAGGAAGGAAACTAAGAAAGTTATTGGCCAGCTTCCACTTCATACTGTGAAGCATGGAGAAAAGGTAATATTTTCCTGGTACTTTACTTTGTTTTGTTTTGTTTAGACTAGAGAATGTGTTTGTCTTGAGAAGTATTTCTTTCCACTGTGCTGATTCGTAGTAATGAGTTGAGTTGTTACTAACTGTCATGTGTGTGTTGTCTATTTTAAAGGATTGGTGAAATGCCATGGGAAAAGCCTTCCAGACCAGTGCTTTCTGCTGACAGCCACTAGACAAATATAGCCATTCAACTTTCAGTAAATTAGGAGACTGGGGTGAGGCGGTAGCTCAGTGGTAGAACATGAGCTTAGCATGCACAAGGGTTGGAATTAATCCCAGCACTGTCCCCCCAAATTAAATTTAATTTAAAAATGAGTTTCTTAGTTACACTAGCTACATTTCAAATGTTCAGTGGTCACATTACCAGATACTGCCATACTGCAGCGCCAACATTGCCGTCGCTGATGGTTCTCCTGGTCAGATCTGGATGACTGCAAAGACTCTGCAGAATGTACTGTCTAAGCCATAGACCTCGATACCTTAAATTCATTTTTGTTGAATTTGAGACTATTACGTTCTTTGTGAGGCTCTTAATTACAGGTTTTGTAATTAAGGTCCTGTAATACTGAGGTTCTGTGAAGGAGAAAAAGGGTGTTTTTAAAACTATTTAAAAAAGGAAACATTTTGATATGGCCAATCCAAGATTTAAAAGTTCAGAATTATACCAGAGATATAAAGAATTTGGGGAATAGGACAAAGCCTGAGTCTAGATACATAGAGTTCTTAAAGGATGTGTTCCTTAAAAGCAAAACTGTTGCTTCTGTTTATTCTTAACAGCAGTCTGTGCTGTGAAATGTTGCTAACTGTGTTGACCTGTACTTGTGAGTTGGCTCGATTGTTTTGAATGTCATTTTATCTCACTAAGTTGTTGAGACTTAATTTACTGCACCCTCCAGTCTCCATTCCTCTCAAGAAAAAAGAAAGAAACTACGCTTATGGTATATATCTTCTCCTCTGCCTTACTTACAGGATTAAAACAAAAATGACACATTAAATTACAGACCTTTGAGTTTTAAAAGTTTAGAATCTGATATTAATGGCTTGTGTGATATATTCAGTATTAAGGGTACCATTCCTTCCCTAATAACTTCTACATTATACAGTGTAATTTCAATAGTTTGTGCAAAATACTGATTTCTTTCTGTGCAAATGTGTTAAACAGAAGTAAAAAGATAAAAAGTTGCTTTTCATTAGCATCTGATTCACAAATCACTGAGGGTCCTCTGGGAAAGTTCTAGTTAATACCTGTGACAGACTGTCCACACATTCTGCATAGCTGGCTGCTTGACATGCATGTGATTCTGTGTTCTTGCAACATGACTGCTCTCCTTTAGCAGGAAGTCTTAGTCCTGACATCTGAGAAGACGCAGATTTCATATGTGGCATTTTGTGAGTCAAGGCTTTCAGAACTTTAGTCAGTGTTATCTTCTTCCTATATGGAACATTTTAAAAGTATGTTGACAGGGACCTTTTTTATTTTTGAAAGTTGTTGGAATAATTTAAAAAAAAAAAGGATCCCTACATAGTCCAAGAAGTGTGTACATGAATTTTCTGGCACTTACACATTTTAAACTTATAAAAAAAAAATGTGTCTATATCTTATCCATTTCTGGAGATTACAGTTTATTTTTAAATTTTTCTTTTCTTGTGAACTCATTCATGGTAACTTGCAAATTATTAGGGACTTCAAAAATTATTTCATCATTTTTGCGTGACAGATGGTAAATAAGAGACAGTACTTTTGTTGTGATATATAATTTAAAAGGCTCTTGTAGTTAATAAAGTCTTTGATAACATCCACATATAAGCTCCAGCTTTTGCTGCTTCCTTGGTAATTAAGTAAGTGGTGCATGTGGCTAAGTATGTTTTAAAATTATTCCATAAGGATAATGTGGCTATTTTTCATAATGTGACTTGGCTAAAGCTGCAGACAGGTTCACTCACTGACTGAGTTCCTGAGACCTGGTCTCAGAATATAACCTGTCAAGTCAGGTGGCCCCTCTGGCCCTGGCTGCTTTGTTGATGAACAGGACCTAGTGAGGAGAGAGAAGTGGAAGGGCTGGCCCCACTAAAAAAGGTCTGTGACCCATAGATTCTAAAAAGTAGAAATTTTTCACAAAACTGCCTCCTCCTTAGTAACTTTTGTTTCTTTGTACCTTTAGTTTGCTCAACAAAAATAGTGACTTATCCCGATTTGTGAATTCGTTTGTTATTAGTGAGGTGAATATTTTTAGATATGTAACAATTTGCATTTTCTCCTTTCCAAGTTGTAACTCTGTTCTTAACAAATGTGAATTTGTTTTTAATGATTTTAGATTCCTGAAAGTCTTTCTTTGAATACTTTCTCTTTATATTTTAAGTTTTATGTTTGAAAAAAATTATTTTAACATAAGATAGCAGTCACTTGCATTGCTGTAGCCCTTAAAACATGAACATTTTTTCTCCCTCTTTTTGCATAGTGGGGATTGCACTCAGGGCTTCAAGCTTGCTAGGCAAGCACTGTGGATTACTTTTTTTCTAAACCCAAACACTAGCTTAGTATTTAAACACTGTGAATGCGTGATTAAGCAGACATTTTTTCCCCCCTTTTTAGCCAGATTTCTTAGATGCTTGCTTGGTAGTGGTAAGAAGTAAATACCAAGTACAGTTATCTTTGTTTTAGTGTAGTACAGAACTTTTCACTGTTTTAGTTAGAATGCTGTGCATTTACCAAAGATGTGCTGTATATTCACAATGTAGCAAACTCTTTCCTCCTTTTTTTTTTTAAACAGGGAATTGATGTTGATGCTGAGAACTGTGCAGTGTGTATTGAAAATTTTAAAGTAAAAGATGTTATCAGAATCCTGCCATGCAAGTAAGTATGTTCTTTTTTGTCTCCTACAATATTTAAAAAATAGCTTGAGAAGTTTCAAGATTCAGACAAAAGAATTCCGTGGCTTTTCTGATATGAAGATCTTGCTGTCTTTGGTCATCTCTTCTTTCAGAAAACAGGCTCAGGCTTTCATGTCATCTTCAAGGGTCTTTAAAATTGCTTTGCTTAGGAGAACCTTAAGTGACCATTAAGAACCCATTATGCATCTTTGTAGTATATTGGCTTTTAGTCTTACAGGCAAGACTTCATTAGCATCCTAGGAGTCCATTGTACACTTAGCAATGCAGAAAGTTAGGAGTAAAGAAACTGAAGCAAGAAAGATGAGGGACCAGGGTGAGAGCCTGGAATGGCCACAGGAAGCAGATCAGGGAAAGCAATGGTTTGCTCTTATTTGTACTCTGGTTTGGGTTCTTTTCAAAGTTGCATAAAATAAATATTCTTCCTTTTACTCAGGTTACAGTAACTCAGGGTCAGTTTTGGCAACAGGAAGTTGCAACTTCCTTTTTAATTATGGGCCACTTTAATAATAACTTTTAAAAATATTTGCTTTGTTAGCAGAAGGGTTTATGTATAGAAATTAGACATTTTAAGTCTGATCAGTTTCAATTATATTTCATACCTTTTAGAAGCAAGTTGCAGATTAATATAATTAAGAGTAGTTTAGTGTATATATACAAGTTCTTTATAGTACCTTAAATTCTTGATAACTCTGTGAAGGAAATAAAGGAATTAGTATCAAAGTAACCAAATAGGTTTCCTGAGTGAAAGTAGCTGGCTTAAATCTGTCAGCATTTATAGGGTTGGCACAGTAGGGACTTAATGAATTGGGGTCACTAGAAGTTGATAATATACTGTAGAAAATCATTTAAGTAGAAAAGAATCCTTACTCTGGACTGGGTATGGGCAGCTTTCTGATTTTAACATGATACTCAGGATACCACCAAGATGAGCATTGCTGGGTATGTGCTGATGGCTGAGCTGGGGTTTGTATATGACCTTGAAATACAGAATTGTTACATATGTACATTTCCTGCTCTTTATTTTTGGAATTTTAATGTCTTTCCCATTTCTTCCCAAGCTTCGTGTAATACATTCCCCAGTAAAGCCAATAAGTTTCTTTTGTTTTTTTGTGAAATTATTCTTTTAAGTTCGTTTTAGTTTGAGGATAGAAAAGTCAAAAGACAAGCTGGGATAGACTGTTAGGTAATGAAGAATTGACATTTTAACAGCATTTTGAAGGAAAGATCTTCAAAGTACAGTAATAATAATGAAGTAGGTATGTGCTGTGCCCAGCTTGGTGCAGCCCATGATGTAGGAACAGATGGTTGGAGCTGAGCTCCCATGGTCATAGCTGTCAAGTCACGCAGCTGGTGTTCAGGCTCAACCTATCTGGTTCCAAAGCCAATACTTTGGTGATAGCCAACTAAAACAAATTAGTAAAAGAAGAAAGGGTATATGCCTTGTAAAATTCTGATAGTGATAGATACTCATTGCAGAAAAAAAGAAGGGTATATAAAGTATATGCGAGACAAAAGAAGTGATTTTTAAGCCTGACCCCAAAGATGATTGTTAGTCTTTTGCTGTATTTCCATTTGAGTTGTTGTATGGACTTATACATGATAGTACCAGTTTAGTATTAGTTTATTGCTGTTAGTTTGTTTATACCACATTTATTCTCAAAAGGCTTGTAAGTTACCTACTAAGGCATATAAAAATGTACAACTTGGCATATGGTAGAAAGAACACATGCTGTTTTTGTGGAGTGAAGAGAAAATTTCACTGGAAGTCCCAAATTCTATTAAAGTAGAAAGTAAAATTGATAATAACTTAACATAGATACTTAAGTAACTAAAGCACAATGCTGATTTGATGTTGGCTAACTTACAATGAGGAATTGAGTTGGTAGAGTGTCTTATTTCCTTTATAAGATATATAAGCATTTATTTTAAAACATTAACACATACTTAATTTTTTTAGGCATATTTTTCATAGAATATGCATTGACCCATGGCTTTTGGATCACCGAACGTGTCCAATGTGTAAACTTGATGTCATCAAAGCCCTGGGATACTGGGTTTGTTACATTTTTGTTTATATTTGATCTCTGCCCCGGTTATTCTTAGTGATTCAAGTTCATTATTAACCAGAGGCCAGAGGAATAGGAGAAATGCTCCTTCTGGTATCCTTATGGTTTCCTAAAGAAGTTTTCCCCTATTAAAGATGAGTTCTTAAAGTAATCCAGAATATCAGTGATAGGATAATATGCAGGATGTCTCCAAGAGAGTTTATAATCACTTGGAGCAATATGTATACTGGTGTACTGCACTGCTATATATGTATGTATGTGTGTGTGTGTATACACACACACACATATATATATAAATGTTTATTTTATATATATATAAATGTATATTTTATATATATATATATATGTGTGCTTGTCAGTCTTATACAAATGAGAATCATAAAATGTATGAAACAGAAGGAGCCTCATACTTATTTTGGCTTATGGTACACATTCTACATGTGAGGAACCTAAAGCCAACACTTCTTGATATTAGTTCTCCCTGTTTGTGCATTTCAAAATTCTGTAGTGCTGGGGAAATTTGTCCATTAGACTGTGATGCTTTGATGGTGAGGTACCTTTCTCAGAAGACATGAGCGCAAATTGAAAGTGATCCTGCCAGAACTGGTTACGGGCTTGCTGAAAGGCCTTAAACACATTTCACATGTAATCTTCACAACCACTGTACAAAGTGCTATTACCTTCCCTATCTACTAGGTAGAAACTCAAGCATAGAGACACTGAATTGCTCATCTCACACAGCCTGTGGATGGGAGTCAGCTTTCAAACACAAGTTTGCTTAATCTAGGGGTCCAAGTTCTTTCCTACTCAAAGAAGAAGATACAGAGGGAAAAATGATTTCTTTAGGTTTTTTTTTTCTTTCAATTTTAGAGTCTCCATGCAATATATTAATGTCTCAAAAACTCTTGATTAAAGTTTTTAGATAAAAATCTTTGAAAAATAACTTAAAAATCAAATTCATTTTTCTTGTTGCTAAACATAGTTTTTGTAGAGTTTATTGTAGAATAGAAACTACAAAGGATTTTTTGAAGATGATCATTTTATGCAGCTTAAAGCCATGATAGCCACGTAAGCTTTTATAATAGTGTTGCTGAGGAATTGACCTGTGAAACAAGACTATTCCTTTCCAGGCCACAGGTCTGCCTAAAATATCTTCTCATCTCTTAGTTTAGCATGTCCTCAGAAGACATTAAGAGACTACTCCTACATAATTCCTGAAGTGCTCTGTGGAGTGTGTCTCATGTGAGTTCCAGAATGCCCTCACTGTAAGGTACAGGAAGGGGAAGTTAACATTCAAGGACCACCTTATATTATAACTTCTTTGTCTTTTCTGCAGAATTTCTAAACTTTACTTGTGGTTTTAAATCCTTGTAGCTCTCTTTAGCCAGGCATAACATGCTTCGCAAGTAGACTTGACTCATTTCCTCTTTCTTCAGAGAAGTGTTGTTTAGCAAGAGGGTGAGCCTCACTCATCATTTTAAATGACAGAACACAGGTTCTCGACAAATTATTTTCTTGGCAAAGTCTCAGAGCTCTTCCTTCGTCAGGCACGCTCTGAAGCTCTTGCCAAATTGTTTTCTTATTAGTAAGTAATTTGAAGCCTGCTTTTTATTTCTGGACATTTGTATAAAAGGAATTTCACTGACCTTAGCTTGGAGACTTTCATCTTCATGAGTTTTGTTTGGGGAACTATAGGTTCGTGCATCTTCTTTATTTTGGGCGGTGGGGTCTGGGCTTTGAACTCAGGGCCTCACACTTAGTAGGTGCTCTACCACTTGAGCTGTGCCCTGAGCTTCATATATATTTCATATATTAAAAATTGAGAATCTTCACTTTATATAAGGTTAAGTTGCTTTCTTAGGATGTTAATTTCAGAAAGGTAGAATATGTGTCCCTGGAAGGCCTGCTTTAATTTTTTTGAAGGGCAGAAAGCTGTAGTGATTTTAAAGCTAAAGAATTTACTTATCCTACTTTTAATGTTTTAATCTTTAGATAGTATGCCATTTTCTTTAGACACACTGTCCCCTCCTGTATTGTATATTTTCATGACATGCTCCCTTGTAGTGACTAGTTCTCTATTTCCTTATAAGTGGCTACTCATACTGGAGAGCAATCCTTTGCTTTGTACCTGTATTTGCTCCATCATGTCATTTGTCACTGCAGTCATTTAACAAGCACCAGTCAGAGGAATGCCGTCCAAGGTGTTAGATCTGAGCCTGGCCCTGGTGACGCAAAAATGGATGATACACAGGCCCTCTGCTCCAGGACTCTTGGGGATTTTACTTTCAGGACTGGTGGGGGCCAGGGCAAGCCTATGGACACAGTGTGACGAGAGAGGCAGATTATATGCCATCTGAAGCATAGAGAAATGAGGAGCTCATGCCGCCCAGTGGAATTGGGAAGCTGGAAGGGTGTGCATGTTTGAGGGGCCGCAAAAAGGGGGGCTAAAGGGTTAGACTGCATCTCTGCAGATTGCTGATTGATGGTGGCCCATGGGGTGACCTGTGAGGTTGGGAGGTAGGTAGGCTTTAGATTAACAGGTTGGGGTGAGACTGAACAGGAGTTGAGTGTTGTAGCACAATAGCAACAGGATTTGTGGCTTATTGTGTTGGGCAGCGAGCTGTGCCTGGCAACAAGGTGTCTAGTTACTGGTGAGGGAGGAGGGGGAAGTTCTGGAACATGGGTGGAGTAGGCCAGAGGTGCCTGAGCATCCTGAAGAGGAAGGGGGAGTGCCTGTGAGCCACATGCTCCCAGCCACTAACCCCCATCACTGTCCTACCAGCTTTATCTACCCACATGCAGCTTTGTCTCTGCTATTAATCCAAAAGAGTTCTGGTTGTTCCCCAAATGTTAAGACTTCATATAGCGATGCTGATGGAGTCTCTGGCCCTCTTTTCATTATCTGATTTTCTTTAAAGCAGCAAATGGAAAAGAGAGCAAAGTCAGACGCAAACTACAGCTGAAAAACCTTTATCTGCAAGGAGGGAGGCAGCTGGTTAAAAAAAAAATTAGCACCTGTAGCATTTTGCTGTTCAGAAGCCTTTTTATCTCTAGCCCCTTAGTGCCAAAACAGTAATTAAGGTTCCTGGCTGTATCCTAAGTGAGCAACGCACTGGTTCACATCCTGTGTTCAAGAAAACAGGAAAATGAGGAAGCTTTACTTTCTGTCAAAAAAATAGTTTAAAAGGTGACAGTGCTTGTATCAAGGAGAGAAAACTGGTTTTAGATGGAAAAAATAATGATGTAGGTGTCAGAAAGCTGCTTGTTGAGAAGTAGCTTGTTTTCTGATGGTGCTGGATAAAAGTGCCCTTTTGGCCACAGCTCCAATGTAAGAGAAATGCTTTGCCTCAAGTGGACTGCAAGCAACATGGTAGGTATGCTATGATCCTGTCACATAGGAAGATATTTTCTCTCATTCTCAAGGGGGAGCCTGAGGATGGGCAGGAGCTGCCCTCTCCAGAGCCCGCCCCTGTGAGCGTTTCTTCTGGGAATTTGAGTGTGACCTTCCAGGATGAGGACAGGAGCAGCACCAGCAGCCCGCCCTTGTCCACCAGGAGTGAATCTGTACCGCGCTGCACTGCCAGTTTAAAAGAAGATGCAGGGGAGGACACAGCATTACTAGGTAGGTTGCTGGTTTTTACAGTGTCACCAGTAGTCGAAAGAAAATTACAAAATATATATGATGCAGAAAAACATAAAGGAAAAAATGAACACCATAGTCCCACACCTAGAGATTACATTTCAACATTTTGATAAATGCCTTTCCAGATATTTTTCTCAGCTTAAGGATGGGGGAATATCACTTACGTGCTGTTAGATCACCTGGTTTTTTAACTTACTGAATGATGCTTTTTGTGTTCCAGTGAATAGATTATTTTTCTGGCCACCAAGTATTTATTACATTTTGGATTTTCTGGAATGTCTTTAAACTATTAATGTACATTTATTATCAAAACACTTTGAAATTGTTGTGTTGTGCATGGTTACCACCTGTCTAATTGTTTTTGTCATTCTGATAGTAAATAGCATTTTTATTACTGATAAGGGTACCTTCTTTATCTTTGTTGATCATTGTCATTCCCTTATAAATTGCTCATTTTCTGTGCTAAATTTTCCTTTTTTGTTAGCTTGTTTTCTATTGAGATACTAATATTGTGTGTGGGGGGAAGGAGAGATGAGAGAGACTGGGTCTCTTGATATGTGTGTAGCCCAGACTGACCTTGAACTTACAGTACTCTTGCCTCTACCTCCCAACTCATTTTTCATACTGATTCTTAGAGCTCTTTGTATATTGACAATATTCAGTCTTTGTCTTATTTTTTTGTACATTTCCCCAAGTTTCCTCCTTTCTTTTTGGTGATGGAGATGGAAACCAGGGAGGGCCTTGTGAATGCTAAGCATTCACTCTGCCACTGAACTATATCCCTAGCTCTCCCAATTTCTATATACTTTGACTTCTTGTTGTATTTTACTAGATAGAAATTAGTAATTTTTACATCTTCTGGCTTCTCATTTTCACAGTTTTGCCTTTCAAGGCATCCTAATTTAGGAAAGTCTTCATCATTTTCAGATTTTGAAACTACTGAGCTAGATTTTGATAGTATTTATGGTTTTGATTTTATCTTTTTGAGTCAGTCTAGCCTCAAGCTTACTATCTTAAGTGTTCTTTTTGCCTTAAAGTAGTAACACTCTAAGTTGAGAAATACTAAATTAGAACAATTGGTTATTCTGAATAGACGTTACTACTTGCCTAGTATAATGCAGTCTCACTTAGGGTTGGGAAAGCACTGTGAGACACTCAGGACTACCTAGAAAAGCCATGTGGCTTTAGGAATGGAGGGCCCTGGAGAGTGGCTGCCTCATGCTCCTCCCAACGCCCAGTTGACCACCTGCTTCACTCCTGTAGGGAGCTTATTTGGTTCTAGGGTCACCCTACTCAAAGCACTCAGCATTTCAATTACAGAGAAAAAGTTCAAGAGATCTGTTGTACAACATGGTGACTGTGGATGAGTACAGTGTACTGCCTATCTAAATTGATATCTATGTGAGGGGATGCTTATGTTCATAGCTTCATTCAGCCATTCCACAAAGTGTGCTTATTTCAGAACATCATGCCATACACCATAACTATATACCGTTTTTACTTGCCAAATTAAAAAGTTATTTTTTTTAAGCTAGGAAAACAACTTTAGCAGTTGAGGCTGGGGACATGCAGTGATAGAGCACACACACGAAGCTCGGGGTTCAATCCTTAGCACCAAAACAAATTTAATGGTATTGCTTAACGGTATTTTACCATTAAATTTTAAATTGAGAAAAAGAAAAAAAGTTGGTTCTGCTGACCTTTAAGGAAATAGTCTATTGTTCTAAGAAGCCTTTGCATTCTGTGCAGAAGTGATTTTGCACTCCAGACTTTTGCTTTTGAAGGTCTGGACTTAAATACCAGCTTCACCTTTTCCCTGCCATCTGTAAAATGGGAATAGTGACATATTTAGTGACCCCTTATTAGGGATGATACATACTGCCAATAAATGGTAGCTAATATTTTCATTGGTCACAACATCATGATCGTAACTTGTTGACTCTTGAGAACATTCTAGCACCACAAGCTAGACTGCATCTTCTTTTGTAGCATTGTGCTGGTCAGGTCAGTGTTGGCTCAGCTAATACTAGGAAACTGTATATTGTATGTGAGGAAGCTGTTTCTTTTGTTGTCTGTATCTTTGGAATGGGTTGTCAGTTTTTGCATGTAAGATTTATTTAAATGTTCTATAATTTGTTTGATGAATTACCTTCTCCAACTGAGTGACTGTGCAACTGAAGTTGAAGAGGTGCTTTTGGTGTTTTTTTGTAGAACCAGGCCAGAGTGACCCTCGGCGTGGAGGACCAGTCTGCTAGCGCACATCCTGACAGCATGACGGGCAGAGCTTTGTCTTGAACTAAAGGACATTTTATTTTTTTATTTTAGCACATAGTTTGTATACTTGAAGATAATGTACATTGTTTTACTTTTAAGATTTGATATTTAAAGGGCTAAGATATTTTATTCTTAAAGAGACTTTGATTAGTCTTCATGTATTTATCTACTAAAGTACTCTGTTTACGATAAGCTGTTGTTTCAGAGTGTCACAGAGGATGAGGCCTGGGGAAGATGTGTTATTGTGGAGGATGGGTGGTATTTCTAACTCCTAGATTAGCTGCTGTGATACTGTAAGAATAAGATTAGTTCTAGTTCTCAAGCTTTTAGACAAAGTGCACCAATTTTAGATTAGTTGAAGTGGAATTGGGATAAATTCAGTAATCGATGAAATGGGCTTTCCCTGGAGGAAAGACACCTTTACAACTTTAAACTTGTGAGATAAGAAATCTTGCTCAGTGTGGCAAAGCACACCTGTAACCTCAGCACTCAGGAGACTGAGGCAGGATGGTTAAAAATTTGAAGCCAGCCTGGGCTATGTAGCAAGATCCTGTCTCAAAAAACAAAAAAAGAGAGAGAGAAATCTACAACTTTCTTGTACATCTGTATCATACATAAAGACTTCAAAACCTGAGAACTCCTTTCCAGTGTGTGGAATTATGAGAAAAGCACTAGATGACTTTAGGATTTGCATTTTCCCCTTTATTACCTAATTTCTTTTGAGAACCTTGATGGGGAGGGAAATTTGTCTACTTTTTCCTACAAATAAAAAAAGCCAAGATTATTCTGTATTGCACATTAAGAGCATTAAAACTTCATTGATTAAGGAAATGGATAGGAGTACTGTGATTTTTCTTAACAATGAATATATTACATTGATTCTCATAATTTAATCTTTATATAACTAAAAGGGTGATAGTTGAATGATTTTGTTAGAATAAAATTACCAGTTTTCTTGACTAGTTTGCAAACTCAGGACCATGCCTTGCCTAATTATTTATCCTTTTGCTGGCTTGCTGTTTTTTATTTGTAGGTCAGAGGCACAGCTTTTGGAGGTCATTGTGTGAAAATTTTATGTTGTGCTCTGTTCTTGCTTACTGGAAATGAGAGTCAAGAACTGTGAAGCACTATTTTTAGAGTGTGGAATTGTAGTCATTCCTTTGTTGCTTCTTAATTAGTTACCGTGCTTATCTTTATAGGTAAAAATAAATGTTTATTGAGTAAAATATACTTTAAACATTGAAGATTTTATCGGCAGTATAGCTATGTATAGGATGTAAAGCTTCATGAACTTTATCAGGCTGTTTACTACACTTTAATTCTACTCATCTACATCTGATGAGTAGTTTTACTGAAGTAAATTGTACAACCATTTTGAATATGAAGTAGAAATGTATCTTACTGAGCACTCATTTTAATAAACAGCCTCAGAGTTACCTTAGAAATCTGTGGTCAGTGCAAATAGGAAAAGATAATCTTGATTTGTTACCAAGTAGATTGTTTGCTGTTTGTCTTTTAAGAGACATACTACAGAAAAATGCTTTATTCTTTCCAGTAGCTAATGAAGCTACTTTGTAAAAAGAATATTGGACAGACCATAGTAAATTTAATCATTATAGAAGTATGATTTCTTTTCCCTTTTTTTGAGACAGGGTCTCTCTATGCAGCCCATGCTGGCCTCAAACTCAGCCTCCCAGGTGCTAGGAATATAGGCATGCACCATCACACCTGGCTTGGAAGAGTGTTTTTTAACTTCAGAATTGTAGGCAAAGGTGTGAGAGAGACTGAGACTCAGCAGTTTACCTGCCATGGTGTTCTACCTGCCCTGCTTCTTCGCTCCCCAATGTCTTGATTGGTGTTCTGCATATCCCAGCAGGGAACCACCAGAGAAGTTTGAGACCATGGCATCATTTAGCAGGTAATAGTTCTATATTCTCTTTTTGGGCCTTAAACAAGATTGCTCCCTGTGGCTACTGAGGAATGATGACAATAAAAGGCCGAATTGCAGTGTCTCCATCAGCAGTTTGCTCTCTCTGTGGGGACACAATGACAAAACCTCCCGAAGCGAACCACTGGTCTGACCTCAGTAATACTAGATAGAAAGAAGCTTCCTGCCTTGGGGAAGCTGGTTAAATGGGAGTGGTCAAAAAAGGCATTCCTAAAGACTCAGCTGTCTCTAAGGAAAAATAATCAGTGACCTTCAGACAACACTGGGCCTTGACCAAGTTGCAGTACTCTCTGTACCTAGAGAGGTATTCACCCCATTGAGGACTGCTAGAAATAGAAAATAGGCAGTCAAGAGGTGTGATCCATGTGGATGGAATTTCCCAGTAAGATAGCATAATTTGGCAGCATCTGTTTTGAGCACATGAAAATTACTTGTTCAATGAGGGATGAGATTAAATTAGTATGTGTTTATTACTAACTTAAGGACATTTTGTTTTTGCCAAAAGCAGTTTTTTACAGGCTCAGTGTAAGCCCTGCTTTGTGATTTCCTGAGCACAGGATGTTGGCAGAGCTAGCTTTATAGTATAACATGTTGTGCACCTGTGATGCAACAACAAATTAGAAAACCCACCTACGTCTTTCCCAGCTTGTTTTAGTCTTAAAACACTTGTCAGCATTTTTCAAAAGTACTAGTACTTGAATTATTACTCCTTATCAAAGTGAAATGTCTCCTTATCCTAGCCATTCGCCCTCTTCCTACAGCAGTCTAGTAGAACAAAGTTGTAGAAAGTCAGTCCATTTTTTTGATGAGGGTAGGCAAATATTGTGGGCTGATGAGAAGCCTGGGAGAAGCAGTTTTTGTGAGCTGACTGCAGTTCTGGAATCCCAGAGTTGTCATGGTGTTTTTTTGATGCTCTTAGGTATTTTCCTGATACAAATAGTAGTGATTGCATAAAAACAAGCAGACCAGATATAAAATGAAATCAGCAAATTGTTTTAGGAAGCAGAGGGTGCTAGGACTTTAACATATATGTAAAAAGTTCTTCCTAAATTTCCCAGAGCCCCTTCTGTTAAGTGGGTATCATTCAAAATATTAAAATAGACTGTGAGATCCATCATCTCCATGAGGTGACTCACTTAAAATGTGTAAGTGTGCTACTTAAAATGAGGAGTAAAATTGAGTATGTGCTGTATAAGAAAATTGAGTGATACTGTTTCTGTTGTTTAAATGAGAAATAACAACTGCTAATGAGGATTATTTGTGGTAACATTTTAGGTTCCCAAAATATTTTTCTTTTCAAATAGCTTCTTTTTACTAGTACTTATTGCGGTATTCCTTTTTTAACAGGTGATTTAATGTTGGAAATTGGAACTAAAACATCCCAAGAAATGAAGGTGTTAAACTCATTTGATTACACTTAAAAGCTGGTTGAAGTTACTAAATTTTAGGATTATAGTTTTACTTTAGATATTTCCTTCCTTCTTTTTTCTTCTTTCTCCCCCCTCCCCCACTTATTTTTATTTATCTATTTAGAGATATAGTTTATGTTGCCCATGCTGGCCTCAAACTCCTAGGCGCATGCATCCTCCCAGTTCCAGCCTGAATAGCTGGGACTGCAGGTTGTACCACCATACCCAGCTTGCCTTCTAAACATGTTTAATCAAGAACCTTTTGGTGGTATTGTAAATCTTGACTTTAGATTTTTTTTAAATAAAATGTTATCTTAAGTAAAGCTATTTTTGTAAGCATTTGTTGCTTTTCAAATGTCAAGACTGATCTTGATCCTCCTTACTCGAAGAATCCATATTTGAGAGTTTTATTTGTAACCCTAAAGCCATTATATACAACACTTTTGCAGTTGTTTTCAGATTTGCACAAAGTGGTAAAAATTTTGAGTTGCCCAACACATGTTCTTAACTAAGGTTGAACAAGGGAAGGGGAAGTTTGCCTCTTTGTTGTACTGGGGGTTTTTGTTTTTGCGATAATAGAGTTTGAACTCAGGGTCTACACCTGAGTTCAAAGCCCAGGCTGGCTTTGAACCACAATCCTCCTGATATCTGCTTTCTGAGTAGCTAGGATTACAGGTGTGAGCCACCAAACAAGTTTCCTTTACATGGCCTGTTTGATACCCTCGTTTATGTGTTTTTTTTTTTTTTTGGACAACTTCACTGTTTAAAACGGCCCCAGGTATGAAATGCAGCTTCTGTTCTATGCATAACATAGAACGGAATGTTATGATGTGCCTTGTGAACAAAATACATGTTAGATAAGCTTCAGGTCAAATGCTACAAGAGTGGAACTTATACTCTTAAAAATTAATGGGCTTGGCTATCTTTAACTTTTGCTAAATTCTGGAGTAGAGAGTAATTCCTATTGAACAGATTATACTCTGTAAAAGGAAATTTTCATGATTTCTTCAAATAAAAAGCATACCAGATGACAGCTGATTTAAAACAAAAGGAAAAAAAAAGCTTTAATGGGAGGCACTTTAGTCCTTGCTCTCCTGTGCCTCAAACACACATCCACCCAACACAAACAGCGGCTCCTAGGGTGATACTACCTCCCAAAGCAAAAAAGTGGCTATCTTAGACTAATAACCAAAAATCATTCTCAAGAAAAAAACCCAGAAAACAATGCCTGCTGCTACAGGCTAGAAGGTTACTAAGAGTTCCCATGTTTGTAAGAGGCTCACAGGACTAATGTATTCTGTTGTCATAAAGTTACAAGTGTGTCCTTGGCTATGCTTGAGAAGAGCTCATAAAGACAGCACCACAGATTCTTAAGAATGTCTTACTTACTCTCATTGAATACTTTCAACATTGGAATCTTAGAAAAACAGGACTCCTGGTTTTTCAGAAACCTGTGACTGGTATTTTAAGCAAGAACAGGCCCTTTGCTCTTTAAAAAAATTTTCTTTTAAATACCTCAGCTACTCTTTTTTTGTGAGTGGTTGTTCCTCTGATAGTCATCAGTAAGACACCTAAAAAAACACTTTCCCAAGTTCTTACCAAAAACTCATTGATAGGAAAAAGTCATCCAGGAAAAGGAAAACTTTGTTATAAGTAAATAAAGTGTTATTTATATGCATTAGATCAAACAATCCACTAAAGAGTTTTTAAAACTAATTGCAATACGGTTGGGCAATGAACAGGGTAGTGACGTACTATTTTGACAGTTTGGTCTCCGAGGGCGTTTCTCCAGTGTCCAATGTCTTCAACAACCGGAACAAGCCTGCAGCTTCTCGGATCCTACTGAACTCAATACAGAAGGCCTGCACTTCTATAAATAAGTCCTGCACATTAATAATTTTGTTGCGGATTAAGGATTGGAGAAAGACACACACGAGACGCACCAAACGATTCTGGGGGGAAAAAAAAAATTTTAGTGTGCCTGTTTTCCTGGCAGGTATTAATAAAGTTCACCAAAACTTATTACTCACCTGCATGTATTTATCCTTAATTTGTTCACAAGTAGAGATGCAATTTGATATATAAAGGTGAATAAATTCAGGAGGTAGATCAACAGCTGTAGTTAGCCTGTTTCATAAAAGAGGTTGGGGTTAATCGTATTTGTTAGTATATAGCAAAGTAAAAAATTGCCTGTGGTCGTGGTTATCTGGTGAAATTTTCTGATATGTGACCCAATTCCCTAATTTTAAATATTCTTTGGCGAATAAACCCAGAAGCCACAGTCACTTATTTCTAATCAACAGTTTTGTTTTTTAAAGTCTATACTTAGCATTACACACTGCAGTTACTCATTAAAATGATGATTTGTTTGAACATTGTGTCCCTGAGTGTTTCTGGTTGAATCCTAAGTCATGGTCTCTCATCTTCCAAGCTCCAGTAACCTCAGCAGTTACTATCATCAATTCACATTTAGAAAAACCCTATTATATAGAAGCACTATGAAAGGTATCTGAGAGGAAGTGCAGCACAATACATAACCAACCAAATTCTAAAATGAGGGGTTTGGAAGAAGAGTAACATGGGAAGACTTGGAAAAAGCCCTAAAAATGCAAGTGACTTAAGAAGAGAGATCTTCCTGAAAATGGAGTACAGTATAAAGCTTTGCAGCTTATTTGGAAACACTGCAGGGAAGACTTGGCTGTCATACAACAATAAGCATGTCAGAGACCCAGAACCCAAGTTTAGAGTCTTGAAGGCCAAGGCCAGTATTTTCCAAAGAAAATGGACTTGAGATGATTATTATATGCTCAGCTCAGCTCAGTTCAAGAAATACTAGGTCACAGCCAGGGTTTATTATTGCAATGTCTTTGCTAAACTAGCTATATAAAGTACAAATTTCCTCAACGAGACAAATACCTGCTGCCTTTTCTAAACTTACCTGACCTTGAAATTTCTTTTCATAAGTGAACTTTTAAGAAAACTGCCAGAAGCCACTATTCGCACTTGAGATTTGTGTGTCAGCAGCAAGTTAGAAGGATACATGATGATAGGTGCTGGCGGAAAACAAAAGCAGGACCTTGTCCTTGAAATTCCAAGATATTAGGAAGATAGAATCATATTGATAGCAAGATACAGTGTTTTTGGACCAAGGACCAAATCACTAGGAAAGACACTTTGCTACAAGAATACAGTGAAGGGGAAGCACTGAACACAGCTCAGTCAATCCAGAGGACAGAATTCAGTCCCTGTAAGATGAAGGAGTCTTGACTGAATAGAGGAAGGGCTCCAAAGAGAGGTGGAAATGAAGCAGCAAGGTTTTAATATTGCAGTAAGCCAGTTTTGCCAGTGACAGAGATAAAGCTGAAGATTAATTTGGAGACCTCATGTTTTCTTCCTTCTCATACCCTTAAAATAGGACACACTCTTCCTCCATACTTTGTGCAGCAGCCAGCCAAGCTTTTTGTCACCAGTTGGTTAACATATTCATTAGTTCAATTTAAAGTAAGTGTTTTTTTTTTTTAAATCTCCAACTCAGAAACAGATGTTTAAAAAATGTGCTCTAATTAAAGTTTTGGTGCCTGGCACTCAGAATGGATTTCCCTAAGTATTAGAAGAACCATATAACTTGCCATCAAACCAGGCCAATGCATGAAAGAGAGCTCAGGGCAAAGAAGCATGAGTCAGGACTACCTTGGCAAACCTGAAGTATGACCATGTAGACAATGAAACAGGCCTCCAAGCTAACCCCTTTAAGCCCAGTTAATTTGTAACCTAAAATATATTTGTAAGGAAAGTAGTATAAAATATGGAAGCTGTGCGGAAGAATACATCAAGAATGCAGAGCTTTACTGTTTCCCTGACAATGGAGGGTAAGGAGACAGTCATGGAAGAGTTTCCATGACAGCACACCTGAAATCTCTCAGTGCCACACTTTCCTATGTCACAGTTAGTAGCTGAGGAACAATTATATCTGCACAGAGATGAAGATAATGACTATAAGGCAATTAATTCTATCTGTTTTCACTTAAGCTTTTTTTAACATGTTAAACTCCTACTGAGTTCTTACTAATGGATGTTAAATTCACATGCAGTGAACACTAAGGCTCAGACTGTCTTTCGATTATGTGAGGCTAACAATATCAGAAGAAAAAAAGTCCTACCACTTTTCCCATCCAGGTCTTATTTAATCAAGATCCACGTATCCCCACATACTTGATGGAATATGGAAACTTACCGATTTACAACTTCCATTGAATGTAAGGACATATCCATATTGACCAGGACAGAGAAATACTCAGTGATCTGGCTTGACTGCATTAATTTCAGCAACATTTCTATAGCGACTAGAGGGTTGTTTTCCACGAGGTCTGGAAGTTTGGCTGGAGTGAGGCCAATATGATAAACAAGTTTGGGGTCTTTTTCCAGCTCACTAAGGAGCTAAAGAAAATCAAATTTTCAAAGAGAGAAAGGTTTTTGAGTCACATTAGAATTCTGCACACAAAAGTACTTTACACAAAAACTGTAAAAATTACCTTCATTGAACCAATTTCCTAAATTTCTTTCCTCAAGCCCATAATCATTACATCTTGACATTTTAATTTAGATTTGGATTGTGAGGACACTAAATGAAAACATTCAAGGGCTGACAGCATGGCTCAAGTGGTAGATCACCTGCCTAGCAAGCACAGGGCTCCAGGACCACAAAAAAAAAAAAAAAAAAAGAAAAAGAGACAACTAGTGAGTCTTCTTCCTAGACATAAAACTAGCCTAGGAACTGTCTGGTTACATACAATATTGTCTGGCTATAATAGTATCATCCTTAAGTCTTTTGTAGTATTTTTTTCATGTCATCTGTTATAACCAAAAATACTCTTTTAATTGCCAACTAAAAAGCAAACCAAGCTAGGCATGGTGGTTCACACATGTAGCATGAGCACTTGAGGTGGAGGTGCATGAGCTACATAGCAAGTTCAAGGTCAGCCTGGGCTATTTAGTGAGACCCTGTCCCAAAAAAAACCTAAAAAGCATAAACAGAAGAGAATTAACAGAAACATGAGAAATGAGCCATGCCCCACCCACCCAGGTAGAGAACAAAAATACCCAAGAATAGGGGAGAAAAGGAAGTACTGCCTCTGCTTGTATTTCACAGTTCAGATCACTCCCAAACTTTGCAATTTCAATAGGTAGCTTCAAAAACATTTCTTACAGGCCAAATAGCACTTTTTCTTTAAGACTTCTCTGTTCTTTTTTCTACTTGTATTTTCTATAGTGGACTGTGTGTTTCTAGATGGTCTATTAAGCAAAATGAACTGAAAAAAGCAATTAGTTACTTAACTTTGAGAATATTTTTGATGCTGAACTGGAGTGGAGATGACAATATCTTCCTAATAGTTCTAACTATTAGGTGTCCCTGCCTTTTCTCCCAAGGGGGGCCACCCAGTCTTGCCAGTGGGCAGAGGGAAATAGTTTTAATCTCAAGTCCACCATCAACCAGTTGTGCCAGGGTCTAGTTCACCTTCCTTTGGCCTCATTTTCCTTCTTTATGGAATGTTAATAACTACATACTCTCAGAAGAGTTACTTAAATACAATAATGTATATAAAGTACCCAGCTGGTACACAGCAGGAACAGGGTGCCAAAAAGTGAGACCCTTCCTATCCCACCTCTTCCAGAGACAATGATCACAAATGAGTCAAGACATTTTTTAGTCATATTACCTCTTGCCCTACCAGAATAAAATGAACATAAGGGGAAAGGGCAGAACAAAGCTTCAGATATCCAAAAAACCTTTCACACTTCCCTACTGCTGGCTCAGGTTGAAAGTTTATTGCTCTTTTATCACTTTATGAGAAAAACAAATGATGGATTAAAGATAAGAAAATGTAATACATCCATACCTGTGTTTGTTGGGGAGAAGATAAGGGGCTTTTGAAGGCTTTGGCCATGATTCGCTTGATCTCCACACCTGTGCTATTCTTAACACACATGGATTTATCCCACTGAATCGCATGGTCAGGCTCCGTGGGATTTAACCAAGCCAGTTCATCCTCACAAATGTGGAGAGGAGGTGGAGGACGGATAAATTCTGGCCGAAAATGGCCTATAATGAAAGTAGTGGTAATGACTGCTTCTGTCAGTACACTAACATCTATACCCATTTCACATATTTCAGTGTAGTATAAAAATGCCTTTTAATGAAGATTTTATGATAAAACTTTCACACTTTGAAATTGAAGACTAGAATGATATAGAAAGTCAGGGCTTCACTCAGAATATATGTAAGAACACACACAAAAAAACCAATAAAACCACATGATGTCAGAGATCAAACCTATTTGTAGAGAGAAGAGAGGAAAAAAAGGATGTGACCTGACAACTTTTCATCCAAGCAGGGCTACTCAGCAGCAAAGGGCACAGCTATGAGACTGGTTAAGTCTTTTTTTTTGGCAGTATGAAGGCTTGAACTCAGGGCCTCATGCTTGGTTGGCAGGCACTCTACCACTTGAGCCACTCTGCCAGCCCACTGGTTAAGTCTTCTGATGAGAAGAGAAATACTATTCATCCTCACCCATTCTAAGACACCACTAACATCTTGTTCAGAGATCACTATGACTTGTACTAGTTTGTGCATTTTATAACTTTGAAGTGACAAATTATGTGGAGATGAAATGACAAGGAAATAGCACTGGTGGTTCTTTTGACTTTTTCAAATAAACCTGGAATCCTTCATAAATTCTGAAATTCATAAGTACCATATTCATACTCAAAAAACAAAAGCATGACAGGAAAATAGTGACTCAATTCAACTATTTTATAAATCCAGTTGGTTTTTTTATGTGTCTGTGTGTGTTACTGGGGAATTGAACCCAGAGCCTCATGTATGCTGGACAAGTGCTCTACCACTGAGCTAAAATCCCCAGCCCAAGGCTGACCCATAAGTTTTAAATTCATTAAAATAAACGCTGGCTAGGACTTCTGCCACACCTAACAATGATGTTACACCTTACTTTGGTTTCCACATGGGGCAGAAGGTAGTTTATTCCTATCAAGAATCCTAGTCCCTGCCAAACTTAAGGTGATACTTTCTAGTTTATGACGTCATTTCCTGACTAAGAATCATCACTTAAACATCTCCACTGTCCCTTCACTTGCATCACCAGGACTGGCACCTTAATCTCTCCTGAGACTCTTTGTGAAAACAACGACTGCAGCACTTCATGGGAAATACTACTGATGTGGGGTAGGGGAATGCCTGGTGTGTGGCCAGACTCACTGTGAGTGAAGTGCTCTGCACATAATTTCCTGGTGGCCAATGCAATTCAAAGTTGTGCCTGAGCAAATACTAAACAGAAACTGCTACATTCCACAGACCTTCCAATACACTTGTGACTAGCTCAGATCTCAAATATTAAACCCATATAAGCCAAAGCGCTACTGTAAACCAAATAATACAGTAAGTCACAGTGTAAGTTTCAAACTCATGGTAACACTATAATCTGGAGAATATGTCCTTATTCCTATGCAGGAAGCCTTCATCATTTAAACTACATGGAAGCCTGTAAAACCAAAAGGTACAGCTGTATTATTTCAAATTTAGTGTTTTCTGTTTAAGAAAAATAATTAAAAGCAAAAAAGGGCTGGAAGCATGGGCCAAGTGGTAGAACACCTGTCTAGCAAGCATAAAGTTGAGTTCAAACCCTAGTACTGCCAAAAAGTGAAAACAAAAATGAAATAACTAAGAACTGTAAAATCAGTAAAACTTTAAAGTGGAGAAGGTAATGATAGTAATAATATTATCTATAGTAATCTTTATTGGGTAATAATCTATAAAAATACTCATTTCAGTAAAACCAGAGAACTTATATATTCAGGTATGTGTATAATAAATATTTAATAAACTGCTTGGTGTATAATTTTTTAAAGAAGAAACTAAATTTAATGAGCATCTCTACTATATTCTAGGTATACTAGAATATAGTATTCTAGTAGTATTCTTCTACTAGGAAGTTTCACATTAAATTCAAGCTTAAGTAGCAATGAAAACAACATTATCTCAAAAAACTGAAAAGTTCTAGGTGATGCTTGTGGAATAAAACCAAGAGAATAAAATTAATTTATATATACTTACTTTCAATAGGTGGCTTTGGTCCACTGACTAATGATTCTGTGATACGAGAGGCAACTGAGCTGTCGAATCCAGAATTAGAAGAATCTGGGTCTGGGTCACTAAGAATACTAGGGAAGCTAGCTTTACTTTGGGTTGGCAATTCAGACTGGCGTTCTGAAAGAAGTTAAAATGGAAGACATTTTCAAATTGAGGACACCATGAAGAGGGAAAGGACAAACTAATAACTGAGAGAAGCTACTGGCAACTGCCAGATTCTGTGTGTGTGTGTGTGTGTGTGTGTGTATGTGTTTGTACAAAATATAATAGCCCCTACAAAAAAAAAATATTATTTTTCCAGTAGGAAAAAAATAGACTAATGACTTTGCCAAGCAGTTTACAAAGAAAGCTTGAATAATCAATGAACATCTGAAAAGATTTTAGGAACCAGAGAAAGTTCAGTTAAAAGAGAGGATCCTATAATACAACTACCAGCTTGGCAAAAATTAAGACTGACATTATTAAATTCAGAGGATGATGTAAGCTAACTCACACAGGAAGAATGAAAAATGACACAGTAACTTTGGAAAATTTGACCTAGTAAGGTTCATATGTATGTATTTTTCCACTTTAAAGAAACACTTTCACATATGCCCCAAAAGAATATACAAGAATGTTCATAGCTCCCTACCCAGAACAATAATAAAATTAGAAAAAAAAAAGAATGTTCATAGCACTATTATGTCCATCAAGAACTTGGAATACCAGTGTATGAAAGTACCACAATAGTAATGAAGGGTAACCACTGCAGTCGCATGCTGCTAACATAGATTCGTCTTCCAATTAATAACCAATAGAAGGAAAGCGCAAAATAAATATAGTATAATCCCACATATGTAAAGCTCAAGGGCATGGGCAGAGAAATTAGTCATGCTCAGGAGAAAAGGCTATAAAATACATTCAGCATGAGTATAAAACAGGTACTGTTTGCAGGGGGAGAATGAGTGGCAGTACAGAGGTGGAAAAGAGAGGGTGATAGGGGGCAATTTTGATTGAAGTACCAGGTTAGTGATGGAGAGGGAACCAGAAATTAAGAGAAACATGGAGCCTCCAGGCTCTGAAAAAAAAAATTTTTGTTTGCTTAAGAGAGTCTCACTAGGATGCCCAGGCTGATCGTGAACTCCTGGGTTCAAGGGATCCTCTCATCTCTGCCTCCCAAGTAGCTGGGACTGCAGGTACACACAACCATGCATGGAAATACTCATTGTCTTAACCTGGATAGTGATTGTTCCAGGGTGACTTTATTATGATTCCTTAAGATGCAGATCTATGTTTTATGAAGTGTCATACTTCAGACTGTCATTTAAATAACACAGCTGAATTCCTGATTAAAGAATTTCAAGTCAATGAAAAAATGGCCAAAGACACACGAAGTCTTTATGACGTTTGACATTGCTTAATAACTTATTTAAGTTTATTTAAACTTATTCCAATGTCATTTTTTCATCTCAGATTGTGGAAGTAAAAAAAGTTAAGATAACATACTGTTGACCAAGATACAGGAAAGATTTTTTAATTTGCAAATTGTATAGTAAACAATAATAGGTATTTATCAGGAAATTTTTAAGAAAATTTCTGAAATGAACACTATTGACAGGGTAAATCTCTGCTTCTATAGTCACTAAAGTTAACTTACCTGTTTTGGTTTTCTAAAATTAAGAAAACAGAAATAAGTCTTCAGTCAACAGATCCTCCCTAAAACATATCAGTCTCAGGCCTCTACACAGATGATCTGCATACAGCTCTAGAGCAGTAACATATGCTTACTTTAGGGGTGGAAGCAGGGGAAACTTGTGAAAAGAAAGGAATTGGGACAGCTTCAATCTGGGTAGAGGACAGGAAGAGCAAGCTTTGTCACTCAACCAAACTTCCCAATCCTTACTCTAAGCACTAGCTCCTTTCTGCACTTCAAAGCTCTCCTGGGCTAACTCAAGTCATCACAAGTTGAAAGGGAGGTCAGATTTGATTCTTGCTTTATCAAATTCTAAATATACATCACATCACCTCTAACAGTAAGGTGGGTGGCACTTGTCTTATCGCTTCTGTATCCAGTCTACAAAAATTATTATTAGATTAAATTTGGCACTAGTGGCTAGTAGGTACTTTTGTGTACTTCAACATGAACAGTCTTAAAAAGATTTCTCTTGGTGCCAGAAAATGACCATTGTTCTACTGTTAATACAACATAATAGTTAAAAAGTGAGGTTTAAACTGTTCCAAAGAAAAATAAGTTTACGGACTGGGGATATAGCACAGCAGCAGAGTGTTTACTTAGCTTGTGCAAAGCCTGATGTTCCATCCCCAATACCACAGTAAACAAAACAAAAACCTAAGTGCAAAGTTATAGTAATCAAAATAGTACAGGTACTGGTATTAAGACAGACGTATAGAACAGACAACAGAATAGAGACCAGAAATACACCCTCACATATATAATAGCTTTCAAAAAGGATACCACTGTATTGGCTGTTCAGGATCCCTTGAGATCTGTTGGAATTTTAAGGTGGTCATTTCTATTTCTTCAAAAAACTATGAGTTTTTGACAGGAATTCTATTCAACCTGTAGGCAGTTTGGGGTAGTACTGACATCCTAACAAATATTGTCTTCTAATAGGACATTTCCAAAACAAGAAAAAAAACCCTAAATTTTATCCAGTATTGTTCTAAAACTGGAAAAGCAAACAATTCAAGGGAAAACTTAATGCTGTGTTAGCATCAAAAATGAAAACTCCACTCCAGGCGCTGGTGGCTCATGCCTGTAATCCTAGTTATTCAGGCAGCCGACGATCAGGAGGATGGCGATTCAAAGCCAGCCAGGGCAAACAGTTCATAAGACCCTATTTTAAAAAAGGGCTGGTTCAAGCTCCAGCACCCCCCCCAAAAAAAAAAAATAAAGAAAAGAAAAAGAAAACTCCATTTAGAATAGAGTACTGAAAATTCTTTTTAAAATTAAAGATACTAATCTTTAGCACAACTAAGAGTGCAATGACCTTCATTTTAAGTACAGTATCTCAGTAACAGATAAGAATGCCCCAAACACTGATTCCTCCTTACCGGCCAAGGCTAACTGAAGTCCACTAATGTCCACAGACTGGCCCATGTTTCCAACATCCATCAATGCAATCTGGCGAGGTGTCTTTTTGAAGAGTTCCCTTGGAGGTGCCAGCATGAGCTGGGAAAGAAAAAACTTTTCTGGTGGAGTTATAGGAGGTAAAAATCCTGTAAACAAAAATGTATAGTGATTTTTTTGGTTACGTCTGAAAATTAACTTTAATCTACTAAAATTAGCATTTGCTACTTGCCACTTCAATCTACATATTTTTACAGACTAAATTATACTTGAGTTTCAGTTAATCAAATATATACATTTATGAATTCTGTAAATATTTCATTTGAAATTTTGTGCTCTGTGACACTGTCAATAAAAGTTAAGATTTTTCTAATTATAAGAACTATGTTTTCTAAAAACGCTTCATTTCCTGAAAAGGCTAAAGTTTTCCTATGCAAGCAAAACCAGACATTAAAAACTTCAGCATTCAGAAACACTTTTCTGTCTACCACAGTGCATATGCTGAAGTTGAAAAGCGAGAAGGAAGCACACACTAGCAACATATCTGCTCAGGTACACAGTGCAACTACATTTTCCAAAGGCTTAATGTTCCCCTGGGCCCCATTCGACTGTTCTCCAAGCCTCATCTATCAACCTAGCCATATCCTCAGACTGCATGATGCACTTGGTGATGCATCAGATAATCTGACTCCATCCAGCAATGTCCTCAGACTGCATTTCCCCAGTTCCAGCCTCACTCCCCTCCCTCTCCTGCATAGACTACAGGACAGACTTCCTGACTTCCCCAGTTCACAGGGGTTTTTTTGTTTTTGTTTATCTTAACCCTCTTGCTCATTGGTTGTAGTCAAGTCTGCACCATCACAGTTTTGACCTCAGCTAATCCACCATCCAGTCCACACATCCCTTACCACTCTACATTCCATGTGGACAAAGTCTCCACCTTCTCTGAATATACCCAATTCTTTAAGAATACCTGGCAGAGCCACACTCTTCCTTCTTACTCCCATCACCCCCATCCAGCAAAAATTCCACTCCCTCTGAGACTCCCTCCAGCTCCACAAGTTGTATTACAAACATTTTGCATTTGACATCTGTTTCCCCAACCAGATTGCAGGCTCCTTGAATTCAGAAAGCCATCTTTCTCATTTCTGATACATCCTCAATCCTAAATCAGAATCATCTGAAAAACTTAAAAAAAATATAGCCATTAGCTGCTCTCCCAACAGACGCCCTAGGAGTGGAGCTTTGGCACTGATTCTTCCTTAGGTGTATTTAATGATCAGCTCTACCTACTTTGATAATGATAATAATAATTATAGGTAATACTTTATCAAATACTTTTATTCTTCATAAGAACTCTCACGAGCTAGGAATTATTAGTATCTACATTTTACAGATGAGGAAACTGAGGCACAGAGAAAGTAAATAACCCATGCATAGATTCTTTCCCTGGCAACTGCCTCCCCTCACCCGCAGTCATGTGTTTACAACGCAGCGTACCTAAATGTAGGTTAGACTCACCGCATATGGCAATGACATTATAACAGTCAGGGTTTGTTTTTGTGTGAGGAATTCAAAGGGTCTCTGACCTAAATGCCACAATCTCCCCATTCCCTAACACACTCTTGGGTGGCCGGTTTCGACCACGCGTGTAGGTGCTTCACTTTTTGGGAAGTCACAAACTTCCTGAAAGTCAGGCAAGTACCCACAGAACAATGCTGCACGAGTGCTCCTGTGTACTAACATCCAGGAGACGTGCGCCTTCTAGAAGACTGTGAATTGCAGACTATTTCTATCCTCTGTCCCGTCGCATTAGAATACATTATGGAAGGCGGCTGCCAAAGTCCTTACGTACTGTTTAATGTGCATTTCCACTCAACTATTCCTTCCAGTGCATAATCTTGTCTTCTATTTACTCCTCGGAAACGTAAACACGGGAACAGATCCAGTGTGTCTTTAGTTCTAAACGCAAATACCCCAGGGCTTTACAAGAATGAGCCGTATTTGAAACACTGTGAAAGTCATGCCCTGCAGGGAGCTAACGATTAGCTGAACAGCAACGTGTAGTTCAGCCACCACCGCTCCCTATTTCGGTGTGGGGTGGAGGGTGGAGAGAGGGTCGATCAGCTCGTTTCCAAAGGGGACAAAGTGGGCGACGACGTCCAGCACGCAGGGGGCTCTGCCCACCCGCCGAGCTACGTGCGCGCCGCACACCTGACTTCGGGGGTACCTGAGAGCGGCGGGCGGTCGGGCTCCTGGCCGCCGCGGGCGGGTGGCGCGGGGTTGAGCAGGTGTGCGAAGCTGGCGGCGAAGGGGTTGGCGGCGAGCGGCTCGGTGCGGTACATCTCCCAGAGCAGATAGAGCGCCGTGAGCCGCTGCGCCGCGCTGGGCAGCAGGTCCGGCTGCTGCAGCAGCATCACCAACACCGAGCCCAGGCGGAAGTGGTCGGCCTTGCTGAAGTAGTGGTGGAAGGCTGTGGAAAGGCCCTCGAAGGTGCTGCCGCCGCCCGCCTCCTCAGAAATGATGCTCAGCAGGCTCGACAGCTCCTTCGGGGTCAGGCTCATCCTGCCCGCGGGGCCGCCCGGGCCTCCGTTCACCGGCCCGCCGCCGCCGCCGCCGCTCCCCGGGACGTTCCTGAGCGCCGACCCCGCCGCTTCCCTGGACCCTCTTTGCTCCGCAGCGATGAGAAGTCGGCCAGACGCCGGACCGGCCCCACCGCCGGGCATCAACTTCACTCGCCCGCCCTGCTTCCCTGTCCGAGTAGCCTTGGCGCTGGCTCGCTCCGTCGTCGCGGCCGTAAAGTGCGCTGTTAACACGACAGCGTCGCAAATAAAACACGCGAAGGAAGCCAGGCGACCTCGGAGAAGTGGGACAGCAGCACCGACCGAAAACGAGGCTGGTGAGTGAGGCCAAGCGGAGAGTCCAGGGACGCGAGGTGGGCGGGACGTCGTGGCCGGAAGCGGGGGGTGGCCTGCGGGCCCAGGTGTGGTTGGGCCTGAGGAGGCCTGGTTTTTATCAGCTCGGATTGCACAGAGAAGCGTTTGAGAGTATGGGCAGTGCCTGGCGCCAGACGCCCTAGTAAATGTTAGCTGAATTATTGTTTGAAAAATACATCTTAAATGTTTTCTTAACATCCATGGCTGTTCGTGGTAAAATTATTATAAATGCAAATAAATTAAGACACTTCACATTTCTCATAACCAAAGCTAATTTCTAGTCTTACACTAGTTTTTGCAGAAATGGAGTGAAGTTTTGTATATGGGTTTTTTAAAAAGCAAAAGTTTGAGAAGGTGGTTCCAAGAAATATGAATAGGGCGTGGTGTAGCACGTTGGTGATCGCAGCATTTTCTAGTTCCAGACCAGCCTGAGCTCCATAGTGATAATACTGGATTGTTTCCTGGGTTCCTATTCTGGTGTAGTCGACGATTGAAGTTAAAAAATTAAAGCAAGAGCAAAGCTTATTGAAAGGATAGCAAAGCACCCTGACGGTGGGACTTAGTGAAAGAGCTAAGTCAAAGAAAGCCCGAAATCTAGATGATATAGGACATTAACTGGCTTAGGTCTATCTTGAAGCTGCATCTATAATTGGCTACCTAATTAACTTCTTCCTGAACCCAGTCATCCTATTAGACTGCACATTCCAGGAGGATCTGGTCAGCCTGTCCTAGTCCTGCAGCTGCATCTTGTTACTTTGGTGAGAGGCTTGTTATTTCTCTGAGAAGCCTGTTGTTTCCCATACCTCTTTAGATGTCTGCTTTTAAATTGCCTCTCTCATCCAAAATGGAATCATCTGTCATTGTTCCTCTTACAGTGAGATCCTGTCACACACACACAAAATGTTCATTTACAGAACTTTGCTGTGCCACTTTTTACTTAGCCTGCCCTTGAACACTTATTCTGGGCCCTAGCTGAACACTGCAAGAGCCCCTTGTCTTTAAATACTAGTTTCTGACCCCACCCCCAGGGAATCTGATTCAGATATTTAAAAACCAAAAACACCTCCCAGAAAATAATATGTAGTCTTGGCTGAGAACCTAGGGAGTCATTTCCCAAATTTTCCAGGACCCCTCCCTAGACCTACAGAGATCTACAGGAATCTCACCAACAATTGCCATCAAGCAAATCTGGGAAATTTGGTCTGTGTTAAACAGTGCCAACAGATGTATATCTGGTAAACATTTTCTCCCATTCCACAGGCTGCTCTTCACTCTTTTGCTGCACAGAAGCTTTTGGGTTTGATGCAGTCCCATTTGTCCATTCTTATTTCCAATATCTCTATTGGAGTTATATTCATAAAGTAAGGACTTCTATAGCCTATTGCCTATATCTTCTAATGTTTTCTCTATGTTTCCTCTAGTAGTTTCAAAGTTTCAGTTGTTACATTGGGTCTTTGGTCCATTTTGAATCTATTTTTGTTTAGGGAGAAACAGGCATCTAGTCTCAGTCTTCTACATGTGGATATTCAGTTCCCCTAGCACCACTTGTTAAAAAGCTTATATTTACTTCAGTGTATGTTTTTGCCACCTTTGTCAGGAATCAGATGGCAGTACCTGCTTGGACTTACTTCTGTACCTTCTGTTCTGCTCCATTGGGTCTGTGTGTCTGTTTTTGTGCCAGTACCATGCTGTTTTTGTTATGATGACTGTACTACAGTTTGAAGTGAGGTATTTTGATACCTCCAGCATTGTTCCTTTTGCTCAGGATTGCCTTGGCTGTTCTGGGTCTTTTGTACTTCCATATGAATTTTAAGAATTTTTTCCTATTTCTGTGAAAACTGTCATAGGAATTTTGATGGAGGTTGCATTGAATTTATATGTTGCTTTTGGTGGTATGGCCATTTTAGCTGTAACTATGTTTACTGATCCATAAACATGGAGTCTTTCCATTTTCTAAAGTCTTCTACAATTTCTTCAGTGCTTTGTAGTTTTCATTGTAGAAGACTTTAATGTCTTAGATTGATTTTTATGCATAGGGGGTTTATTTTTAGGCTATTATAAATGAATTGCTTTCCTGACTTCTTTTTCATGAGTTCATTGTTGATGTATAGAAAAGCTACTGGTGTTTGTTAATTTTATATCCTGCTACTTTGTAAGAAGTGTATAATAGATCCAAGAGTCCTTAGGGTCTTTTAAAGTATAGGATCACATCATCTGCAAACAGGGACAGTGTGACTTCTTCCTTTCTTACTTGTATCACGTTTCTTTCTTTCTCTTGTCTTATTTCTCTGGCTAGGAATTCAAGTACTGTATTAAATAAAAGTGATGATAGTGGACACCCTTAAGTAATTCCTGATTTTAGAGGAAATTCTTTCAGTTTTTCCCCATTTGGTATAATTTTGAGTATAAGTCTGGCATACATGGTCTTTATTATGTTGAGATACATTCCTTCTATTTCTAGTTTCTTCAGGGCTTTTATAATGAAGAGATATTAGATTTTATCAAAGGCTTTTATGGTTATGTGATTCATGTTCTTGATTCTGTTTATGTGTTGTATTATGTTTATTGACTTGCATGTAAACCATCCTCACATTCCTGGAAGGAAATCAAATTGCTCAGTCTTTCCAATCTGCTATTGAATTTGGTTTACGAGTATTTTACTGAGAATTTTTTCTGTATTCATCGAGGAAATTGATGTATAGTTTTCCTTTTTTGTTGTGTCCTTATCTGGTTTTAATATCAGATAACACTGTCTTCATAGAATGAGTTTGGAAGTGTTGCTTCCCTTTGTATTTTATGGAATGGTTTGAGAAGCACTGGTGATAGTTCTCCTTAAATTTGGCAGTGATTACATCCGTCCTGGATTTTTTTTGCTGGAAGGTTTTTCATTACTATTTTGATCTCATTGTTTGTTATTGATCTGTTTAAAGTATTTGTGTCTTAAATATCTATCAATTTTGATAGATCATGTAGGTCTAGAAAATTTTCCATTTCTTCCAGATTTTTATTGGAGTATAAATTTTCATAATATTCCCTAATGATCCTTTGGATTTCAGTGATATCTGTTGTACTGTCACCTGTTTTGTTCCTAATTTTATTAATTTGGATCTCCTTTTCCTTTCTTTTGTTTAAGATGACTAAGGGTTTGTCAATCTTGTTCATTCTTTCAAAGAACCAACTCCTTATTTCATTGATACTTTATATTCTTTTGGTTTCCATTTCATTAATTTCAGCTCTGATATTTATCATTTCTTTTCTTCTCCTAATTTTTTGGATTGGCTTTCTCTTGTTTTTCTGAGATCTTGAGATTCATCACTATGTTGTTTATTTGAAATCTCTTATTTTGTAATACAGGCATTCATAATTATAAACATCCTTCTTAAACAAACACTTTTATTGTATCCCATAGATTCTGGTATGTTGTGCTTTCATTTTCATTTGATTCTAGGATTTTTTTCATTTCCCCCTATTTCTTTGATGACCCACTGATGATTCACAAGTATATTGTTCAGTCTCCATGTATTTATTTTCTCTTTGTTTAGTAAGTTTCTCTTGCTATTGATTTCTAGTTTTATTCCATTATGATTTGATAAAAATATAAGAAGCGATTTCAATTTTCTTGTATTTGTTAAGACTAGGTTTATGTTCTAAAATACGATCTGTTTTGGAGAAAGTTCAAATGGGCTGCTGAGAAAAATATTTATCCTATAGTTACTGTGTGAAATATTCAGAGATGTCTGTTAAGTCCATTTGATCTATAGTATTATCTAATTCTGAAGTTTCTTTGCTGATTTTTCTTTGGATGACCATCTATTGGTGAGAGTGAGATATTGAAATCACCTACTATTATTGTGTTAGGGTCTCTCCTTGCTTTTTTGTGCAGTAGTATTTGTTTTATGAAGTTGGGTGTGGCAATGTTCAGTGTGTACTTATTTATAATTTTTATATCCTCTTGATGGATTGTTACCTTTATCAACATGAAGTGACCTTCTTTGTCTCTTCTGACTAATTTTGGTTTGAAGCCTTCTTCATCAGATATGAGTATAGCTACTCCTGCTTGCTTTGGGGCTCCATTAGCTTGGAATATTTTTTCCATCCTTTCACTTTAAGCCTGCTTTCTCTTTGCTAATAAAGTACATTTCTTGTACTCTTGGGGTCTTGTTTTTCAATTCAGTCTTCCAGGCTGTGTTTTTAGTTGGAGAACTGAGGACATTAAGGTTCAGAGTTATTTTTAGAAGGTAAGTAGTGATTCCTGACATTTTGTAGTGTTTGATTCTTTCCTATCCCTCATTTGCTTATCTACTCATCTAGCGAGATTTATTCATTCCCATATTCTCATGGTTGTGTTTATCTCCCTCTTCTGTGTATAGTATTCCTTTAAGTATCTTCTGCAGTGCTGGCTTAGAGGTCATGAATTCCCTTAGTTTATTGTGGAAGGTTTTTAGTTTTCTTTTAATTATGAAGGATAGTTTTGATGAGTACACTAATCCAGGTTGGCGGTTACAGTCTTTCAGGTCTTGAAGTATATCATTCCATGCCCTCTTGGCTTTTAGAGTTTTTGTTGTGAAATCTTCTGATTGGTTTGCCTTTATGTATGACTTGGTGCTTCTCTCTTGAAGCTTTCAATATTCTTTCTTTGTTTTGTATACTTAAAATGTTTTAAATAATTCTTGCTGGTGCAGAGTCTCAAGTGGTAGAGCACCTACCTAGCAAGCATGAGGCCCTGAGTTCAACCCCTAGTACTGCCAAAAAAATTATTTTCTGGGCTTGTCTGTTTGGTGTTTTAAAAGTCTTCTGTTTCTAGATAACCATCCCTTTCCCAGTAGTTGAGAAAATTTCCAGTATTATTTTGTTGAATATATTTTTCCTGCCTTTAGCTTGTACATCTCCTTCTATGTC